CCCCCACCCCGTCCCCCTCCTCCTCCTCCTCCCCCGGCGGCTGTGGGCTCCGCACGCACCCGGAGGAGGAGGAGAGGAAAGGGCACTTCTCCACAGATGTCCCCTGTGCAGACTGCTTTAAGAGAGAGCATCTTTCTAAATCTGCTAATGCTTGAAGGCCACGCGGTACAAAGGAAAATGATCTTGAGATCTTATGCAAATTCCCAGATTTGAAGATAAAAAAAGAGAGAGAGAGAATCCTCTAATTCTAACCAGAGCAAGCTTTTTTATTTTTTATACAGGGGAATATTTTATTCAAGGTAAAAAAAAATTCTAAATAAAATAAAATCGTTTTTTATCTTTTCTACAGCAAATTTATAATTTTAAGATTCCTTTTCTTGTTTCTCAGCAGTTGTTATGACACCCTTGTGGCACACTGTTTTTTAATTTTGTAAAGGTGAAAAAGCTTTTATGAGCTCATGTAGCAATCAAATTATCCTGTGGATTGATAATAAATGAATATGATATATAGTTAAATTTTTAATGGGCGTCACGCCTGGCTTCGTCTGTCTGTACTTTGGAGCACAGTCACGGGGCAGGACCGACAAAGGATCGTTTCTCCTTGGGGACCAACACATTGTCCCGTTTCCGCCGCCAGAAACCCCAGAGGTTCCTCCTGTGAGGACAGGAACGGCCGCCTGCATTGAGGGTGGCCCCTAGCCAGGCGCTGTGCTGCGTGTTTCCCAGGAGTCACCCTCCGCGGTCATCACAGCTGTGCCCAGGAAATGCCTTTCCTCAAGGTCACTTAGGTAGTCAGTCAAGGGCATGATGAAGCCCAAGTCTGGTGTGACGATGGGGGGAGGCTTTTTACCACCCACTGTCTCTGCTTGAGCACATGCCACCGCCCTGCGCTTTTCTCTTCTCACCCAGGGGCTTCTCTGCATGACCGAAATGTCACATCTGGGTCACATGATGGGCCCCTGGGCAAGGCATCTTCACCTGGAACTGTGCTGGGTTCCTACTCTGAGTCCGCCTTCTTTCCAGGACCCGGGGCCATAGATGGAGGTCTCAGGCTTAGGGCATGTCTTTCCAGTGAGAAATGTGAATTTAAGGACCCCAGACACCACCACCACCCATCTGGACGTCAAGGTGTAGTCCTGACCTTGGGAAGCCTCTGCGCTGACCTCACGCTCCCACGTGTCTGTGTGCCTGTCTGTGAACCTGGGGTGCTGAGCCTGAGCTGCCTCCCTCCTGCCCCGGGGTGTGGAGGAGGTGGCTGACCTGGGGGTGTGGAGGAGATGGCTAAGTTAATATTTGAAAAGGCTCCGCAGTGAAGGACAAAGGGCTGATTTTATGCGCTCAGTGTGAGGCTGCAGAGGTAATTAGTGGTTGTAAACTGCTGCGCCCTGAGCAGAAATTAACTGGAGCGTTTTACTGGCTGATGCGTTGTGGTTGAGATGCCGGTTGGGGTGGTTGCTGGTTCTGTGAGGAGCACTGGGCTGACAGGGTGACCTCCCCTCCGTGGTGAGAGGAGGAGTCGGGAGGAGGAAAAGGGTGCTCTGGCCTCTTCAGCAATGAGCTCTCAGCTCAGCCCTACCCTTCTCTCAGCTCTCGGTGGCTGATATCCACATCATTTTCTTTCGTCACCCTGTGTTAAAAATAAGTTTACGGAAACGGTAACGGAAGGTAGCTCTGAGTCCCATGGCCTGGCCATCTAAGGGTTAAAGGTGGCCCCTCTTCCCAGCCCCACTTCCCTCTTCCCAGCTCATATCCTGCTCCTTTCAGCAGCTCTGCTGGCCCCAAACCCATCGCCACCCCCTCCCCCCTGCCCTGCCCTACTTCCTCCACTTCTATGGCTATAGCTAGACTCCCCCCAGAACCTGGCCAGGTGAAAGACAATTCAGGATTTGGAAATGCACAGTTAACTATTAAAGATCACTTCACCCATGGCTAATAAGGCCGTGAAAAACAGAATCGAGTTTGAATTATGTCGGAGGAAGACTGTATGGTCTCGGAGGGTCACTTGCCAGTAGTTGACATGAAGACAAACCCCTGGGGCGTGTCACGGGCCCCTGCCTCAGACCTCGGTGTCAGTTAGAGGAAGTACCGGGCACACGTGCTTCCTCGGTGGCATCTGTGTGAGCCGATAGGCTTTTATGATGGCCTGTGTGTGCGCATGTGTGTGCGTGGGTGTGCGTGTGTGTGCGTGTGTGGGGAGAGCAGTGTGGCAGCCTTTGGGACAATCAGTAGTCTCTATTCTCTGCAGCCAGCACTCGTCCCTCTCTGATCCTGAGAACATTGTACAGCTGTGACCTGGGACTCCAGGGACAGAGGCTTCCGCCTGCAGGGAGGTTGACGGAACCCAGCACATCCTTCCAGGACACCCCTCGAGGGTCTATAAATCCATGACCACCCAGAGCAGTGTCCACATTTGGGTGACGTATGGGCCAAAGGCGGTGTTTAGTCTATTTACATATTTTTAGAGAAGAAGAAACAGACAAGGGTAAGAAATACACACAACACAAATCCATTGGAAATTAAAACCCCAAATAGTACCTTTTCTTTTTTCCCCCCAAATCTAAAGTGTCCTAACCGATCAAGTGACTGCTACTGAGAGGGAAATGTTAGGAGCGGAGAGGGAGCTTCGTGAGCTGGCTCCAGGACTTCGAGTTTTCAAACTTGTGCTTTGGGAAGTATTTTGCAAGTGAATGAAAAAGATGTTAAGCCCCAAAGGGCCTCTGCTCCGGGCCAGAGAGAGGGAACATGAGACATTCCATTTGCCTGAGGCCATTCTTTGGATGTTCCATTCATTCGGTTTTAAAAAGCCCCCTGTTATTCTAGCTACGGAGGACAAACAGACCCAGATAAAAGGGGAGCATAAGAAATTTCTGCCAAATTTCTAAGGAAGAAAGAGAGGCATGCTGGGAGAGGCTTGCCAGCAGGTAGCCACAATGGGCCCCGGCATCCCAGGCCAGCTCTCCAGTGTCTCGGCACCAGTTGTGGTTTGGAAAGAGAATGGAAGAGTTCAGCTACCTCATCCTGAAATTCCATCCTGTGGCAGAGCCAGGCCAGGGTGGTCAGGCCAGTGGGACCTGAGCTCAGGGGCCGGCCGGGAGCCAGCGGGACCTGTTCCCAGGCTGCAGGAGACCCCGCCCCCGGCTGTCACAGTCCGCAGGACTGTCAGCTTCTCAGGGCTGTCAGCTTCTCAGCCACATTTCCCTCCCAGCTTGTGGACGGAGGTTGGCGACACAGTAGGCAGTCACCCCAGGGTCTCCTCCTCCTTCCTTGGGGTTATTACCCTGGAGGTCAAGACCACAGGGCTGGAGCCCTGGGCTGCACCCTGAGGGAACATGATCGGCCACAGCCCTGGAGAGGAGATCGGGCACATATTCCCGTCAGGAGACACCAGAAGGTGGTGGGTGAGCTGTTGCCTTCTGGGGCTGCCTGGCCTCTGGGCCCCGTCCAACCCTCTGGACACAGACCATCCTGGGCCCTGGCCTGGGCATCACTGGCCCTGCTGTGCAGGCGAAGGAGGGCTTTTTGAGGCTCCCTGCCGGGGCCACGGCGACAGCAGGTGCAGGGCTCCTGTCTCTGCTGCTGAAAATAGTGCTGGAGGAAGGAAGTGGCCAGGCCTAATAGCCAGTTTTAGCAAAAAGGTTCAGTCTGTCCAAGAACTTGAGTCATGCTGTGGAAGGATCGAGATGAGGGCCTCTCAGAGTTCACACGGCCTGAGAGGAACATTTGCGGAGCCCTGTGGCCGGGTTTCAGCAGGGAAGCAGCGCCCGAGCTCCCGATCCTCCGCAGGCCGCCTCTGGAGGGCCGCGTTCCCCTGTGTCTGCTTTGTAAACATGCTGGAGCAGAGGCTGCTGGCTCTGGGGGGTGTATTGTGCTGGGTTGTGCAACCGCCGCGCGGCCAGCCCCTCGCACACACGGCTGGAGAAACACCACCGTCACGTGCAGCAGCCTGTGCAGCAAAAACAGTTGGTTTTAGTAACACGACTGTTTTTGCAGGTGCAAAAAAAAAAAAAAAATTTCCAGGCTGACAGCATCTCTAAGTTTCAGTTTTGGTTGAGAAGAGCGTTTTAAAATCTCAACACCCAAACATCCATCCCCATGAATCATCAGGGAAATAGAATAGCGTGATGTCCCTCCCATCGGCCAGAAGCTTGGGCTGAGGATCTGAGAATGCTCCGGATTCTCCAAGTTCTCTCTAATGCGCCAGTTCGAAGACGCTGACATTTCAAATCCCCAAAATATACTTGATGATACTGTCTGGAGTTTCAGGATAATGTTAGCAGCTAGAGGGGGCGCGTTCCTCATGGCTAGAGATGGCGAAGGCTTCATTCCTTCCTAGAATTTGCATTGATAAGTATCCGCTACAGAGTTCGCTCC